AAAGTCTTTTACAAACTACTCTTGCTGATTCTACCAATTTACTTACTCAAGGTTTCTCAAACTTTCCGTACTATCTTAAGCTACTAGGCAGACCCCTAAACCCCAGCCCATCTTATCCTAACCAATTCTGTTTGCCAAAGATCTCTCACTCTCTGACAGGCGAAATTCCTCTCTTTTCACTCTTTTTCTTTCTGAGAAAGAAGCAGTTCTGCTTGCCAACTACCTTCGCCTCCTCTCCTATTCCTTCCTTTTCCAACCTGTCTGTATAAGCTCCCACTCTCTGAATGTATAAAGAAGATCAGCGATCCCAATAGGTTTAACAGTGAGGGACTGAGGAAGTGAGGCCAAAAGGATGAATCTTTTCTCTGGGGGGCAGGGGGGAGCCCTGAGCTGTGTAGCGTGGCTTAAAGGATCTCAGTTCCCCAACCAGGGACTGAACCTATGCCCCCAGCAGTGGAAGCTCAGAGTCCTAACCACTGAACCACTAGGGAATTCCCAGAAAGGATGAATCTTTAACCCCTTCTTTAGGTATGCTTGCTCTCTTGCTAAGTCACTTCTGTCGTCCAATTCTTTGCAACCCTATGGACTGCAGCCTGCGAGGCTCCTCTGTCCATGGGATTTTCCAGGCAAGAATACTAGACTGGGTTGTCACTCCTGACCCAGGGATTGAACCCTCTCTTACATCCACCTGCATTGGCAGGCAGGATCTTTACCACTACCTTCATCTTCTCAGTCCTTACCCTATGCCTCCTGTACAGCCTGGCCAGCTGTACCTGTCTCCTTTGCCAGCTTATCTCTCCAAAACATAAAGGGCATTTCCTGAAGATTTTATCACAAGCTCCTCTTTGCAGTTTCAAAAATTTACCCTGACATCTCTCCACCTGCAGGCATTCAACTTCCTACTAATCTCTCCCTCTAGACGTCCTGCCAGCACTGCCAAGTCACCATGTCCAACACCAACCAGTTACCTTTTCCTCTCTGCTCCCCTTAATCTTTCCACTTTCCACCTGTGCTCTACTTCTTAGCCATCCCATCTGCATCTTCAGCCAGTGGTGCCAAGAGAGGAGGAATCAATTTATTTGCCAAGAACCAAGGTTCCACCTGTGATCTCTCATCTCTACCTCCTCTGTTCTCTATCCACTGGACAGTGCACCTCTCATGGGCACTGCTATAACATGCTCCTTCTGGTTTCCACACCTCACGTTTTTTTAATGTACACAGTAATGCTGGAGAAACAGTTCCTAAACACAAGCTTAGATCAAGTCTGGCATTTGAGATACTCTACACAACACTTCTCAAACTGTAGTGTGTGGGGGACTTTCCTGATGGTTTAGTGGTTAAGACTCTTCACTTTCATTGCAGGGGGCATGGGTTTGATCCCTGGTTGGGGAACTAAGGGAGCTTCCCAAGTAGCGCTAGCAGTAAAGAATCCACCTACCAATGCAGGTAGATGTAACAACACAGGTTCGATCCCTGGATTGGGAAGATCCTTTGGAGGAGGAAATGGCAACTCCCTCCAGTATTCTGGCCTGGAGAATCCCATGGACAGAGGAGCCTGGCAGGCTACGGTACATAGTGTCAGACACAACTGAAGTGACTCAGCATGCATCCAATCAGGGAACTAAGATCCTACATGCCAAGGGGTACAGCCAAAAACAAACTATAGTGTGCATGTGAATTGCATGCTGATCTTGTTAAAATGCAGATACTCATTCAGTGGGTCTGAGCGGTGCCTGATTCCGGATTTCTAAAATTTCTAGCATTTCCAGGTGATGATGATGTTACTAGCATACAGCTGTATACATACAATATGGCTGCAACCTATTTTTCTAGCCTTATCTTCTACCCCTCCCTGCCCAGCACACATGTATGTATGTTTGTAACTCTTTTGTGCCTACAGGTCACTCACATGCACACATACACACAAATGCACACAAGCAAAATAATGGGTGTGTGTGTATGCACTCAGTCGTGTCCGGCTCTTTAGGATCCTGTGGACTGCAGCCTATCAGGCTTCTCTGTCCGTGGAATTTCCCAGGCAAAAATACTGGAGTGGGTTGCCATGCCCTCCTCCAGGGGATCTTCCAGACCCAGGGATCAAACCCGAGTCTCTAGCATCTCCTGCATTGGCAGGCTGATTCTTTATCACTAGTGCCACCTGGGAAGCCCTCCCTAAACACACAGCTTCTGTGCCCCTCACTGTGTCCTCAAGTCCAGGCTCTGCTCACCACATTTCTACCCACTTTTGAGGAAGCAACTCATTCTGCCAGAGTATTTTCTTGTCTTCTTTCCTACCTCACCCCAGTACCACTCACTGACGGCCACAAGAAACATGGGACACTGAGAGCACTTAATTTGCATGGCTTCTGCCCTATAAGGTCATTACAGGTCATCTTATTTCATCCTCACTGCTGGACTGCACCTCTTGCTGGAGGACAGGGGCTAACTGCCTAACCTCTGTAACCCCAGGGTATCGTGGGGGGGCCTTTTAAGCACCAACAAACACCTGTTCCAGTGGATCTGTATTTTAAGAAAAATGAAACATACCACTCTGTGTAACTCACTTTGGGCAAGTGCTTCAGAAGTTTAAGATAAATAAAAACATTCTTTCTGGATAACTAATTCATTAGCAAAACCTCTGAAAATTCTGTCAAATGTTTGGCATTTTGAAATCATCTACATATAAACATTCAAAGGGTGTTTCTAAAATTTTAGTACTTCCCAGGTGATGCGAGTGGTAAAGAACCCACCTGCCAAGGTGGGTTCAATCACTGGGTTGGGAAGATCCCCTGGAGGAGGGTATGGCAACCCACTCCAGTAATCTTGCCTGGAGAATGCCATGAACGGAGGAGCCTGTCGAGCTACCGTCCACAGGGTCACAAAGAGTTGGGCATGACTGAAGTGACTTAGCGCCCTCACCCAGGCATACAGATCAAAGCTCTGATATTTAACTGAAAAATTAAACCTAATTTGTCATAATCTAGTCATGATTACATTTAAACTTAAAATACTTTCTAATCCAGTAACGCTCTCTGGTTTAATTTACCTAATGCTCCTGTTATCATTCCATCCATTAAATGGGATCTCACTTTCTCCTCCGGTGTGCTAAGGTTAGCCATCTGCGAAATAATTTACCATTAAAATGCCTCACACGTGTGCCCAGCCATGAAAAGTGCTTTAAAATATGTATCTTGAAGAAACGTTTTTAAGGAGATGAAACAACTCAACCAAAAGCCCTATGTTAAATGTTTATATACTAAACCCTCTAAATATCAAAGAACTAAGCAATCTATAGATTCAATGCAATCCCTATCAAACTACCAAAGGTATTTTTCACAGAACTAGAACAAATAATTTCACAATTTGTATGGAAATACAAAAAACCTCGAATAGCCAAAGTAA